AGTTGAATTACTGAAATTTAATAAATATGCTGTAATGCGAAAAATCAACTGCAACAATGAAAATTAATGTTGAAGAGCAGTTCAAATAAATTCGTAAGGTTTCATCTTACGAAATTCAACAAAACGTTTTCAGTTATTGTACATGATAACTGGAATTTTAATAACGGCAACATTGCTGTACTGACGCCATGCAATAGAAACAGAAAATGTCGTTTTCGTCACATGTTAATTACATACTTCAGAGCGAAAGGATTTACGTTAGATTCCCCCATAGCAATGGATTCATGTGAGAAAAACATTATTTCATTATTTTTCTATGTATTGCGTAATGAAAATAGTGCTTCGCTTTATTTGGCGGTTTATAGCATAATGAAAAAGATGTTCTTGAAATGATGGTATGGCGGTTTATTACATAATAAAACAGATCAGGATTCAAATTTTATATGGAAACAGCCGGACTACCTGGCGGTTTACTATATAATAAAACAGATGTTTCTGAAATGACAGCAGCCGAAGTGAATAAGATTAAACATCCAAGATGTCGTTCAACACAATAATATTATCAGGACCTTCAAGTAACTTTAGAAACAGCAGCTTGTTGGATAAAAGCCTTGAAAAAAATACCATTTGAATAAATATCATCATTACAGTTTACCATGAACACCAAAGTTCATACCTTCACTATGAAGTTATAAACTCATTACGGTTCAATATAAAAATCATGGTGATTTTCGTGTACAAATATGATGATACTATCCCGAGATATACAATAACCTCAAGATACCTACTTTGGGTTACATCCTAATGCATTTATCTTCTGTACGTGGAATTCATGTTCATTTCAGAACATAAACCGAGATACGTTTTCAAAAAATAGCAATGGTACTCTGGGTGGGACGCAACAATCATTTCGAAGGACAATGCTGATGTGCATGCAAGTGGCTAATTTGTTCCATTTATAGAGCTGAGAATTGTTTTATCATCCACTATACTCCTAGGATATAAGTACTTAATTTCTGAGATAACGAAACGTTTCATGGCATTCGTTTCAGAAATATTTCAGATATTCTTTACACAGCAAACCGCTCCATTAAAACTATCAATAGGACATGCATCGCTAACGGCATCCCATGACTTTCTGATCACTAGCAAGGTGTTGGTGACTAAATCAAAGTTGGAGTCAAACGACTAGTGACAACAGCACTGTTGACTTAGAGAACAAAAATTTTGGAAAACAGAGGAGGATAAGAATTACTGGATAAAGAATCCTCGATAGGAGATATCTTTTGAAAACAATACGCTGTGAATTCTCCCTTCGGTCTGATTGCTTAAATCAAAAGGAGAAGCTACAGGCTGTCAATGCTTGCGTTTAAGAGCGAGATAATCTCTTGAAAGAAAGCTTGCAGTAGCTTCAATTGTGCTGAAGAAAGCATCTGCTTTTTCAGGATGTGCCACGGGTTTTTAAATAGACTATTTTGGATAGTGCTCTAGACAATCTCATCTGGATTGATTTGTAACGTTTGATTGGCGATCATCCATGGTTCAAATTCGCTGTTTCAAAGAGTGTACCTTTCAAGTTACTTCTTTGCAACACTACCGAAATCATGTCTTCAAATGAAAACTTGTGTTTCATCTTGAAACATACTTATACAATAGACAACAACTGGCGGACATGCGAAGCAAGGTTTTGGGTACTTAACCTGAGAAAGACTGTTTATATACTTGACTGAGCATAAATACAGCAAACATAGTACGTATCCGAAAGCGGGCAGTAATTGCACGTAAATAATAATATGAAAAACAAATGATCGAAACTATATCGCAACAGATGCCATGTTTTCGCGCGTCATTTTTCGTTTGCTTAAATCACATATTTTTAAATCTTGAATACCGGAATTTTCCCATTCGTCTAAGTTTCTAGTATCTGCGTAACTACTAAGCTATTACATTAGTAAATTACACATTTTTATCCAAATATCATCTGTCATTCATGGATTTGTTGATTATGATCAAAATACAAGTAAAACAGTTTTAAGAATATAAAATATATCTATCTATCAAGGAACGGTCAGGTAAAATAAGCAAAACGAGAATTTTTCTACTTCATAAAAATTATGCAGTATTATACTCTTAAATTGAAAAAAATATCCTAATTATAAAACGATAATTTAATCTTATTGCAGGGATAGCATCCTAAATTAAAAATGGCTACAATATTATTCAAAATAAAATATTAGTACAAGCAACAATTATTTTGATTTTGCCCATTATGAACTATACTTAACATTATAAATACAACAGCAAAATCATAAACGCACCCAGAAAAAATAAAAATTTCTTAATAAACAGACAAATTTACAGAAGTATTTTGTGCATTTTAAAAAAGAGAATCTGTAACAGGTTGTCTTCCTTCAAGGAACGAAATTATTTCTCTTGAAGAAGAGATCACCGTGTCACATTTTTTTTCGAAATGTACACAGCATTTTTCAATTAATACTAATCTAAGGCTGAATTTTTCATAATTTGAAGCCTAGTTTGGTGTGTTTCCTTTGTAACTATGCTACTCTCTCAAATAAATTTCAAAGAATTAAAAATTTTAGGACATAATTAAAAAAGATTTAAATACATTACTTCATAATTTGGCCACTTGAACTATAAAAAATAAACAAAATTTTATTTAAATATTATTTTTATTCCCTTTGTTACAAAACGAACAGAACGTAATTGGCATTCTGTGTTTCAATTATTTTGCATACGTCAGTATCATTTTAGAATCACGTGTTTCATGTCATCAAATTTTCAATAAGGTGTACTTTCAGTTAAGAACTAGCAAAGATAATGGCTACTCCACAAATATAAATGATGAATTAGTAACATAAAGTACATACTAAAAAACAGAATTCTTGTTTTCCAGTACTTAATAGCTAAAACCAAATTTCTGTTTATGAAATGAGGTAAACTCTGCCATGCTATACTAATATAAAAAATGAATGTGTGTTGAAACCTGCCAAGAGTGTCTTACAATAGTTACTAAATTAAGAAGTTTACTGAGGATTGGAAACTATAAAAATAGGGAGAAATATGTGCCTTTATTAGATTCAGATCTAGATACTATAATTTTATTGAAGTACCAATTTAAAGTATCAATAAATCAAATAAAAAAATGATTTCTTTCTTTTAAAACACAAAATTGTTTACAAAATTAACTGTAGTTTAGTGCCTTGATAACTCATTTAGCAAATATTACCATTTCATAGACATTTGCATAGTTAAGATAGGAAATTTAAATTTGTAATAAATATTTTTTCTTAGAAATTAGATTATAATAGCATGCAACAAGTATAAATGAAAAACTCATGAAAACAGATTTCAAATTGCTAGTTCAATAAGATCCTTTAGATGTGAATAATGAAGAAATAAAATAACATTAAAACTAAATGAAAGGTAATACAGTACGAATCCGGACGTCCAATATCCGGATTGATCTAAAATCCGGACCTCAAAGCCACTAACAACCCTCCCCCCCCAATTTGTTTTTATAGTATACGCAATTGACGGTTTTTCCCATAATAAAACATGTGGAGAGTTCTCATTCTTAATTTCACTTCGGCACTAAATAAAATACCTCGTTAAGCCATTTTAGCATAAATCTTTGTGATCAATAATTTGGCTCCGTAGCTGCTTGGCATACAGCTCAAACCGAAGCATTCTACACAGAAACATCGTTGACTTTACTAATATTTTATATACCTGACGCCAACTTGGTGTATCATTATTATGTCTTGCTTTCATCACCGCATGTTTATCAACACTTGATAACTTGAGTAATGACTCACGCAGCGATGCCTAAATAATTTTTTTATATAAGTAATTGAATAGCAAAAAGTACGGTAACATTTCATATTGACATTACGCTAGGCGATGAACAGTTTTCCGTTAAATACTGACGAAGAAAAATGTAACAAAAATTTGTTTCCATACGCTAAAAACATATTTTTTTAATGATACTCATAGACCAAAAGAACATATTTAGTGCTATTTGAGTTAAGAATAACTGATTTATTATTCCCATTAACACAGAACCGGCGCCAGAGCTCGTATGGCCGCACGGTTAACGGACGGCGGAATCTGTAGTATGGTTCTAGATCCAGAAAATACCTCTGCCGATAGTGAAGAAAAAGACAGAGAAGTTATTGAAAACGAAAAAAATTCGATTAATAAGTTAGTCGGAATTCTCGATACACTAATTATAGGACTTGAACAAAGTGGAACTTCGTAACTGAACAAAAAATTATGTCTGTTTATAGAATTAAACATAAAGTATTACCACAAAAATCGAAGCAACTTTAACAACTTACATTGAAAGCAGAAGCGTAGCTAGGGTTTTCAGCGCCCGGGGACAATTGAAGATTTTGCGCCCCTTTCTGTGTGCCAAGAATGGAAAACATTTCATTTTAAAATTTCGTGACATCAATTTGGCGTCCCACGGACGCTGCGTCCGGGGTTCCTCCTTGCCCCACCCTAGCTACGCCACTGATTGAAAGAAATGCTTAATAAAGTAAACAAATAAATATTAAGCCCTTCTTTGTAAATTTTGACACTCTTTAAATCATAAATGCTTCATTATTTCATAAATCACGATTTTAGATTTTTAATTTTTTTAATTTCTACATGCCATCTTACTAGATTTAAACTTGTGATTTAATATCCGGAAAAATCCCAAATCCGGAATCGCCGAAGTCCCGACGAGTCCGGATCTCAGACTTTGCACTGTAGCCCGAATTATTACTTTGCACTCATTGCTCAGTGCAGCACACTCATTTTGTTTTTTACATATTATTCCTTTAAAATGTCTTGTGATAGCTGGTGAATGCATTTTTCAATAACAGGGATATAATACTGGATATTTTTGGAATACCTCTAATGTAATTTTTTCTCTACATTAAACTACAACAATAAAACAAAAATTTAAAGGCTCTTAGTAATAGAACTTTACTTACTAGAATAGGAGGTGGATTTATCCTGAAATACTAGCAGCAGAGAAGAGGATAAGAGAAAAAATAAGGAAAATTTATTTTTAAGTAGGCACAGACAAATTAAAAAAAAAGATTCATATAACCATCCCCTAAGTGAATAATCAATGGAAGACCAAGTTTCATACTGAAAAATGCATAAAGGACACCACAAAAGCAAAGATTTTAGAAGAAATTATTTTATTCCAAATCCATAATACAGATTAAGGCCATTAGAATAACAAATATGGCAAATGATAAAATTTTCATGGCACAGCATGCAAATTTAGTTATAAGTAAAATTTATACATAAACACATACTTAATAAACAAAACAATATTAGTAAAATTTACAATACAAACAACCTTAAATTAAGGGAAAATTAACAAATCAAATGAAAAAAATCATAAGCTTGGCACACCAATAATTGACTAATATAGTTAAAGTTCAGGCACATAAGATGCTTTGTTAGTACTATCTTATTTTTTTAATAGATCTGTGAATGGCACATTTATGCAAAGAGTTTTGAATATTTCAGCAAAGACAGAACACTGAAGTTGAAAATTCATTCATCCAAAAATCATTAATTAAATCAAAATTAGTAAAATAAAGAAGGACTTGCATTTCAGAAATGAAAGAATAAAGACAGATTTTAGCAATGAGAAACTACCAAAAAAAAATGATAACAAACTGCTTTATGCCGAAATGCAAGCTAAAGAAAACTTCCAAGAAGAAGAAGTTAATCACACTTAAAATTACATAGGATTAGTAGAATTATATAAATGTTAATATAACACAAAAATATGTTTCTAAACACTTTAGATGCATAAAAATTGAAAGATGCAAATAAAGTTATAAAATAATATAATTTTCATTAAAATCTAGCCTTTATAAAAACATATAACAGGCATACTGTATAAAGAATATTATTAACAGGAAACACTAAAATATTTGTTCAAATAATCACACATCACTTACATCTAAACAATTATCAGAGAAATGCAACAAAAATAAAAAAGAAATAATAATCATTTTAGAAAAATGTGTAACTAATTTATATATTAGTCATTCATAAATCAAATTTACATTAAAGTTACAGTCAGAAATGCAAATAAAAAATATACATACATATTATATGAAAAAACTCATTTGTTCAATGTAAACGAAACATTGCCTCACATTAGTTTTGAATACAGTAGACATACATTTTCTCAAGCTGGTTATATTAATATGAAATTCACAAAGGTTATTATATTTTATTGAATGGAATTATATTTACAGAAAACAGGAATGATTTTAATGCTGACAGATACTTAAACTGCTTCCTTGTTAAAGACCATTTTATGATATGATGCTTTAAAAACATTATGACACAGATATTTTAAGAAATAATGGCATATAGTAAACAAATATCCTGAAAAAAAATATTGTACATGGATTCGTACGTATTAGCTGCATAACCCCCTGTAAGACTAGGAGTACCATTGATAATATTTGAAATTTAAAACAGTTGTAAATATCACGCACATAAAATCAGATTTATATATTTCACAAAATTAAGACTTTTTACGTTAAATGATCTAAAAATTAAGTAGAAAATATTTGTGCTTTGTAAAAAATCTATAGAAGTATGAAACATACAAAACTCAAGCAAATAAATATGGCATCATATCTCAGAACTTTTGTAAGTAATTCAGTTCTTAATTAAAGTAATTTTATACTGCCCTAACACCTTTCATACTAACTTTCAAAATAGATCTGTGGATCTAAAATAATATAATGATGCCATAATTAAACAACATTTTGAATTAGTTCATAGAAATAAGTCATCCAATAAATAAATAAATTCATTCATATGAATGTTCCTCAAAGCAAAAGAGTTGTCAGACAGTCAAACAAAATCAAATACACAACATTGATTAAAATGTATATATAAAAAAATTCAGAGCCAGATTTAGACTTGATAAGGCTATCTGAGATATGGGGCTCTTTATGTGTCTGCTATACTATATTTATGCTACATTTTAATTTTTTGGGGCCCCCAAGAAAGTGGGTTCCCTAAGCTATAGCGTGTACATAAATCCTGCATTGAAAAAATTATATGTTTTTGAATATATTTTCCCCAAACAAACAAATAGAAGTCTGCATTTTGTAAATTTAGGCCAAATCGCATTTTAAACGGTGTTCGAGCAAGGTATTAAGTAGGTAAAAATAGCTATCATAATAAACCTATATTATTATAAATATATTACAAAACCTATATTATAAGCTATTCCAAAGAATCAAATAAACAAATGATTTAGCTAGAATAACAGGCATTCATATGTACATTTTTAGATGTTTTAAAAATAGATAGTACAAAAGAAATTTTTCAAGGCATACCCTTTTAAGACAAGTACATTTATAACTTTAAATTTATTTTTTTCCGAAAAACGAATTATTATTATTACTTATAGTATAATTATAACTAACTAATTCCGCTGTGATTTAGAAAAAAATTAGCTCTTTTATAATTATGTCAGAATCATAATCATTCCTGCTGCAACTAAAAGGAAAATATTTGATTATATTGGATTATAAACTGCCGATTTCATACAGGTTACACAGAATGAAATTAAAAATTCAACTACACAATCCTTGGCAGAAAGGTCTCAATGACTGAGGTATTTCATTAGCATATAAAAATTTTACCTCACAAGGAGGAGGAGCACTACGATAACTTGGGACAATCTTGAATGTAACACTACCTCGAGCTTCACGCTACAGAAAAATAGTAAGAAAACAGCATTAGAAAATATCACAATTTTATTTCAACACAATAAAATATGAGTAGTTTCATTTTTATACCAGCTACACTCATTTTAACTCAAAATATTAATTAGTTATAAAATGATCCATAAATTAATAAACATTTAAAAATTTTCAGCGAACCCGGAATACACAGTAACGCGATAAATACAAAATGTATAAAAATTCGATTATTCGGAAGTAGGAAGACAATTTAACTACATTAGAACAACATTTTTTACTTACAATTATGATGCACCAGACAACACTTTATGAATTTTAGAAGCATAGACTCAGAATAAGAAGCATAAAATTCATAAAATTTTGAATTTTATAAGGATAACTAACAAACGAAACTTAATGATGGAATGTCCGCTAATAGGCAAAACTTCACCACAGCCTGCTGCTTCATATACTGATGATACTAACAGAATGCACCAGTTTTCTGCAACTGCAATCACACTGGCCACTTGACAGATCTACGAAAAGAAACTTATGAAAGACCCTCTTTGAGACAATTGGCTCTCTTTGCCAGATTTTCAATTAATGAGATTTATTAAAGGCAGTCAAGTGTCTCGAATTTCTTCTTACTTCTTTTATTCATGAAACAATCATTGAGATCATAGAAGACGTCATCAAGCATAAAAGAGGTTTTACCACGTCTTTTACTTTTAAACTGATCCCCTTTAAAAAATGCAACGCTGTATTATTGTTTGCATCTTAAAGCATCACCAACAACGCCTCTTCAGGTACTACTAACATGCTAAATACTGTACCAGCCCTTGACCTGCACTTCCTATTAAATTAAATCCTTCAATTCAATTAATCCCTTCTTGGAAAGCGCTTTCTGTTGAACAGAACTGTAACTGAAATAATACAGTAATACATTTTTTAGAGAAGCTTCTCCATACGTTCCTGAATTTCTGTGCTAACTGCGTTACTTCGCGCAGCAGTTTCATGAAAACACAATTTTCTAAATGTTTTCCGATTTTCGAATTAGCCTGCATTAATATCGATAACCGGTATCACAGAAAATAGAGTTACTATTAAAAATAATTCAGGAGAAGTGAATTTACTCAAAGGCTTCTATAATTATCAAAACATATGAATTTTATTTAATGACTTTTAATTTGAATTCTTTCTTTACGTGAATGTTTATAAACCTAACTCACAATTTTCTTTCCTTATCACTTTATGGTTGTTCTCAGGATGTAGCATTATATAGAATAAGCTTATACTCACTGACTGAAAAAATTAAGGAAATGGTCACAAAAATTAGTCACATTAATGATAACCCATAAAATCACATGAAATTTTATAGGTACATAGAACACTGACAATATCATGAAATTATATAAGTGATTGAAATTATATAAAAGATTTATAACAGTATGCATATTACTGTACTAGTACGTACTCTTTGATATGTTAGAAGATATATCACATAACGGATGATTTAACATCTATTGAAAGGATTTGACGAGCACACAGAATAAAAATCATACGTGTGTGGTGAAATATGTCTTTAAAAAAACATTTGATTAACCATGAAAAGTGGGATGTGATTGGAATACTACAGGATGGGCTGAAATAAGACAAAGTTATGTGGAAACTTAAAAATACCTCAAAATATCTTTTTCAGAATCTAGTAATGGTTCAAAGATGCAGACAGTGTATCCGCATACCCAAACTAAAGCCCAAAATCAGCGATATAATACTTCTTCGGGCAGTTTACTCCCTATAAGTGTCAAAAAGGTAGACGAATGGCCTACTTCAAAAATAGTACGGGAAGTACGAAAAGCCCAATAACTCCATTCATACGTAAGTGAAACGCGCCATAAAAGAAGCTTTACATAAGGGCAGTTTACTCACTATAAGTAGTAGGCGAAGTAGTAGGTAAAAAGGTAGGCGAATGACCTACTTCACAAATAGAACGGGAATTAAGGAAAAGCCCAATAACTATATTCACAGGAAAGTGAAACGCTCCATAAAAAAGCTTTACATGAGAACAGCAATGATCTGTCTCTCAATGGTTCAAGGTGCGAAAAGCACATGATTAAAATGGTGCAGAAAACACATTGATGGCAGCCTGACTGGCTGATACCAATTCTCTTCACTGAATCGTTAACTTTTGTTTTGGAAAAGGATGTAAAACTTATTACATAAAAGGAAGGAAAACAAAATACTGAAAGACCGACTACGAAGCTTTTTAAACGACGGCATGTAATAACCTCATTCTAATCCGCGAACGCCTTTTTCATGCCATGTTGATGTCACGGCATTTTGAAAGCGAAGGAATCAGACGCATAGTATGGCTTGATATATATATATATTACACACACACAAACGTTTTAACCTCATTCTTAGAGAGTTAAGAATATATCCAACGCGAAATCAGACCTTTAAAAATTAAACTGTAGGATTTAAATTTCAAAAAACAACTAAAAACCTAAAAGCACATTTAATAAAATAAATTTCTGAAAATTAAAAGATAAAAGCTATATTAAAGATTTAATCACGTCAAATTTTACACGGAAATCTAAAATATCACTATTTTCTGAATGTAACTTTTTACCGAAAAATGCTATGATTTTTAGCTTCACTGGCACCAGGAACTTATCTTGCACCCTTTTGTAACAGTAAAATATCTTTAAAATTATTTTGCTGCTAAGCCTAGCATTTTTAGCATTCAACAAAATGTCTTTTTGCCATGCATTTTACCGCCATTTTACTTTCAGGAAACAGGGATATTTTAAATTAGTCTTTTAGCAATTATTTTTGGCCTATTATATATTCTATGTAAAACTTGACATGATTGATAGTTTTAATCTATAGTTTATGCTTTTAATTTTTGGAACTTTAATGCATTGAATGTGCTTTTATATTTTAAAATTTAATTTAAATTTTACAGTTTAATTTTCAGAAGTCTGAATTCGCATTGGGTATATTCTTGACTCTTTGAGAATGAGGTTAAAATTGTTTTTACATGCTATATATGTTCTCAATGATTTTTGAACATTATAAATAGTTTCTTGGTTCTCCCAAATATTGAAAAGGATGAAACATATTTTTCAGAACTCCTTAATAGCTCGAAATTAATTTTTTAAATAATTATCTCCTGATGAGTCTGTCTCAAACATTAAATTATGAATAATTTAATGCAGTTTGTTTAAATATATAAAGTTTTTTTATTATTATAATCTTAAAATTTTTAAAATTAATAAAAAATAGTAATTTTGATTTTGTATTTTCTTAATTTCTATTTTATTTGCTAGATATTTTTGCAGATTACAATAGTCCTCTTCAAACGCATTTTACAATTTACTCGATAAAATAACCATTCATTTTTGAAAAATTAAGTTTATTCAGTCTCAGCTGTTTTTGGCCAGATTTGGGCCAGATTTTTTACACTGAAAGCCCTAAAGTTTTCTGAACTTTTTAAATACGTTTATTAAGACAATGCACCGCCCGCACGCATTATATATATTGTTTCACAAGAAAATAGTAAAGTTAAATTTAAATAATTCTCTTGCGCCACTGCTGCAATGAATGAAATTTGAATTTAACAAATATTCTCTATTCGTATAAAGCAAATATAAAATTAAAATAAAAAGATTAATTAAGAAATTTTAATGGCTGCTGCAATTAAATGTTTTTTAAATGCTAATTCGTTTTTCGAATTTGAAGAGGCAGGACGTTACTTTTTTTTATTTAAATACACATATCAGAACAGTTCATGGAAAATGAGTCTGTAATGATCGTTTGTTCACAGGAATTTGGAATATGGAAAAGTGCATGCGAGAAAAAGAGAAAATGTTTCCTTCCCTCAAATGAATATTACATTACAAAAATTTATCTTAGAAACATATGTATCATATATAAGATACAAGTATAAAAAGATAAGATTTATAAAAACTGACAGAAAAAAGTAAATTTTGAGATTGCTAGGATATACGTATCTCATCGGCTAAAGTTCTGCTTTATAAAACTCTCCAGTCTGAAATCTAAATGTCTTTCATAAATATCAATAAATACTTAAAAAGAGGAGAATTTTGTCTCATATGATTCATAGCATATACATAGCATAATTCATAGAAAAATACATAAAGTATAGTATTATTTTTTAGGATGGTATCGTATAATTAATGAAGAAATTAGAATAAAACGTAACAACTAGTTATATTTATGACAAGCCAAAGTAAAACTTCTTCTGATAGGAAAACGCTATATTTTAAACATTTTCAACAGAGGTTAATTGTGCTCTCCGTGTCTTAAACATACGAAAACTGTTTTAAAAACCGCATACTGAGAATTAATATAAAACTAACTAAAGACATAAAGCTAAAAAAATATACTGCAGGAAAAAAAAAGCTACTTTTCATAATAATCCCAAATACCTTCATCCTGAAGAGAAAATAAATATTCATTCTATGGGAAAATATACTTAACTGCGACTGTATTAGCGAGTATCTTTTTCAATTGCGATTATATTAATATAATAATAACAAGATTGAATTTGTGTTTTTCTTGAAAATAAGCAAATTATTTCAATTTTGAGAACCTTATCAGCAAATCTATGATTTTTGATCATCCGTAAGGCAACACAAATTAGAAGTTTATTAAAAAAAAAGAGATAAAAAGTCTATGAAGTAACCTTAAGAAGTTTATTAAGAAAAAGAGATAAAAAGTCTATGAAGTAACCTTTCAAGCAGGCATATTTATTTACATTATTTATTTTTCATTTTCTTGACAGCCTTGCTTCTATGACAGATACAGTGAACTGAAAAGAGTTTCTGAAGAAAGGAGATCTTCGTATCATCATTAAAAATCATTTAAAAATTTTAACGACACCATGCATTATTTATAAATAATGAAGTAATAATTTAAGGGATTGTCAGAAGGCATACTAGATCGATGGAAAATGATTCTCAATCATTTATTTAAATTGCTAATCGCTGAAGATAGTTAATACTGGAGAGCAGTACGTTAAAACCAAGGTTAACATACTGCAAGCTTTGCTTTTCCGTGACGTCACCGATGTCACTGACTCAATCTGCTCAAAGGCAACTATTCCCTACTCCATTTGTGTCTTATTTTCTTCTGCTTCTATAAGTCGGGTGACGTCACTGACTCCCTTAGGAACAGCCTAACCTTGTTTGTCTGGGGATTCCGGCCGAAACTACTCAAATTTACTTGTCTGCATGAATCCTTGTCGTGTGAGACGGAAATGAAGTTATTTTCTAATAAGAAGAAATTTACATTAGAGAGCCAAAGTCTAGTAAAACATCGGCATCTATTGACAAATTGGAATCAGTAGCTTTGTTCATTTCTTGGAAATTTCTCGAATGTTTTGTACCATATCGCATGAATACACGATTCCCTTTCGTCATTTTCCTTTTCGCAGCTGAAGAAGATGATTCTAAATAATCTTCAAAATAGTCCTACAAATTTATGCAACTTATGCTGAGTATCTTTTTTTTACAATTAACTTTTTGACAAATGTGAAGAAATCATGTTTAACTAAAATGTCACCGCATTTTAATTATTTTTAATTTACACTTAACAAAGTACATTTACATACGAAATTTACAATACAATTGTTATATTTATACACTAAATAACCAGGTAAAAATGAATGATCCATAAGTGATATTTACCAGCATACGCTGAAGACTCTCAACGGATTGGTTAGCAACACTCACTCCGTTGATTTCTCGAATTTCGTCGCCTACGTGAAGAGTGGCTGTATCAAGAAAGAAAAAGGCGTTAATGAATACAATAACAATTTCTTCTTTTACAGTGCATGACACGTTTAAATCTATAAAAAGTATAATGAAAACTTAAATTTAAGCACATTTTAACTAAGTTAAAAAACACTTAACAAGCAAAACATTAATTCATCTTAAATCTATGCAAATGTATAAAAATAATTCAGCAATCATTTACTAGATGCAAGTTTTCTTACAGTTTTGATTACATAAAAAAACAGGTAACCATATTTTTATAACTGAACACATAATATCGATACCGTTAGATCAACTGAATTAAGATGGAAGATATGTGATTAAATTAAAGAAAGAGGAATGCTTTCGACGAACTTTGCTCTTGTACTGATACGTCTCTATTTTACACATTAACACTGAAATGTCCATTCAGTCAGCTTTCTCGAACCGCTCCTCTCCAAAGTCTTAGTTGCGATCCGAAGAAATATCACATTAGCTATCAATAGCACCAATTCTTCTCAATTATAGCACAACATCTACAGCATACAGGAGAAACTGCTCCATATCTACAGGCCATTAAGATTATTAGCAGCTATGTATGATAAAAAAGGACCAGAGTAACAACAACGATGAAGTGGGCTGTGTGAAATATGAGATGACATTTAACGGGTATTTGGCGATGAGTCTGACTTTATTTGTAATAATAAAATGAAAACTGCACATTACTCGGAGCGTTATTCTTTTAAACATTACAGAATGTAACCCCGCTAATTTAAATGTTCTTAGCATACGGAGACGCTTTGTTATTACACAAGGTTCACACAACTAATACTTTATATAAGACAACTAGGACTTTATAAACGAAGTATAAATATATATAAGTCTGAATAACTATGCATACTAGCGGTTCTAAATTTCCTAGGGTTTCAATACAAATCATACGGATGAAAACTGCTTTCTTTCAGAATGTTCGATATAATTGAAAATAAAAGGTTTCGAATACATCAATGAAAACTGAAGCTACAAAAAGTTGAAAGCTCTCATTCAATGCTAAATTTTAAAGTTTTTATCAAACGAAATTCAGTTTTCATACACTTGGAATTGAAATTTTTGCCGTTCTATATTATCTTAATAAAGTAGCTTAACATGTATAATTCTGTTGCATTAAGCCTTTTTTTGTATATAATGGAATAGTTTTTTTCTAAAAAGATATCAAATACCATTATAATCTAACAATAAATAATTTACTAACATTTTAACAACACTCATGTAAGAATAAATACACTTTTTTGTCAATAACAAGTCATGCAAGACGATATATGTATATATATATATATATCCTATTTGCTTTTGGATTTATTAGATTACGGGAAAGTATACTACGGATATCTGCATAAAGGGAGGGATATCTTCGTAGATATTTTTTAAGACAAATTTTATCGTGTGATGCGAGCTAATTTAATAAGCCTACGAAATTAATTATTCGAAAAATGACGCCATAATTTAGGACATTCTGCAAATCGTCTTTTGCAGAAAGAGATACCTCATACAGCAATTATGTTACTACTGTCAAAACAATATACGTTTTATGTGACAAAAAGTAGCAAATTACGAATTAAATATAAAGTAAAGATGGTGGTACAAGTGCGAGAATAAATAAAACAATATATTTTACAACAGCTACATTTAGAGATAAATTACTGCTGATAAAAACTAGATTCTACAAATCGATGCAAATAAACAGTTCATATTGTGTGTGCATTGGCTAGAGGTGTTATTCGATTGCCACAAAAGAGAGAGCATGAAAACAATTTACGTTATAACGTTGTAGTATCCCTCGCCATTTGGCTATGATGAACGTCGAGAACATTATGAGCCGTGTAGCGACTTATCGTAAACAGTTCAAGCGTAGACTCAGGGTTAAAATAACCTTTTATTCACTTAAATAAGACTAACAATTGGCCCCCTTCTCGGGCTTACAGGAAACCCTCTACTCGGGTTTAACTCCGAATAAGAAAATAAGAAACTAACTATAATTAACTAAACGAGACTTAGCCGCAGCTAGACACAATTATCTAACGTAGTTAATTTAATAAATTAATAAACTATAATTAATAAACTATTATTAAACTATAATCAACTAAACAAGACTTAGCCGAAGCTAGACACAATTACCTAACGTAGTTGGCCCTAAATTAAACCAGCCGGCGAATATCAGTAGGCACGTAAAATACTGCCAAGCGTAACAGCTTCAAGAGCGACTTATCCAAATGGCAAACACGCGCCTTTAAGGACTCCTAGCACTCTCTATCGAAGTTAGTTGAAACTTCCTTAAATACTTCTTCTAACTCATTTGCATTCAATGCGATTCTAAAATCTCATCTTGGTAGGGAGTTGTAAGTGGAAACAAGAACTGATAGGAAAGGTTTCAAAATTAAAGTAACTATTATAAAATTAAAATATACCTTACAACGTAAACAATATATAATAAGAGAATAAATAGAAGGGGGAAATTTACATTCATTTTTCTGCATAAATTTATTAATGACTATTAAAAATAATATGATGATAAATGACAAGAGTAAAAAAATTACTTTAATGCATGAAATAAAAAAACAAGAGACTCTTTAAATGGCCATTCAGAATGTAAAGCCTCATAATGCCAGCATACCAACACGCATATATTCATGACCGATGAATGTGTTACAACTACACATGCTTTCGTGATTTCTCGTATGTGTAATGGAAATGCGGGTCAATCTTTTTTTAAAAAGACATGCAGATATTCTTTGTTTTAGATTGCTAATTGTCGCATGAATTGGCATATTTTGCCAAAAAGGTCATCAAAAACTAAAAAGATTATTAATTACAAAAATGATGTCTTCCGGTAAAATATCTTTAAAATGGAAACCGAAAAAGGCGTTTGAATTTTAATTGCACTGTAACTTAAGAAAGTCGGAACTACGTCGTTAATTTCAATTTCGAAGAGATTTATTGCCGTGAAATTTCAGGAAAAAGAGTTTTAAGCACTTAAAATAATGCAGTGTATGGGATTTTGCGATACTTAAAAATAATGAAAATACTTCCAAAATGATAAACAACTCTATTTCGTAAGTAAAGATTTCAATTCTTCGCTTCGTATGAAACTTAACTTTACTTATTTAGATATATGAAGCATTATACAGAAAACCTGTTAATCATTGCTTGAATCCAAAGTTTAGCTAAATTAATAGCGAATCATACCTTGCCTATGGATCATTCCACCATGCATTATCCTTGCTACAATACAACGGCCTTCTTCATCCACTTTCAAAGTGATGCCCTGTAGGAAAGTAAAGAAATTAATGAATAAAATAGAAACTTACTTGATTAAAGACATAATTCTTAAACATGGATATTTTTAAACATTAGGATAAGATTAAGGGAATTGTGCATACTTAAGCTAATGTAACTATACTTAAACTAATGCAAACTCTAGATAAGAAATAAAAATAACACAAATATACTACTTATAAGTATATTGTAGTATCAAACTTTATTAGCAAATTCAAACGATTTTGTATTGTAGCTTTAAGAATTAAAAAAAAAAAAAGTCATTTGCGCACAGTTTTCCATTTTAAAGGATTAAAAGTGCGTCTAAAGAAACGCAACGATACAACCGAATAAAGAATGAAAATCAAATATGTTTCATTGCTAGATGATCGAGCATCCAGAAAAGCTTTTCTGTTTTCTAGACTTTCATTCGTCCACGGCGTTCTTCACTACATTCTGAATACAGAAACTCGTCCCCGTTTCTTTTTTGTAATTTTTGACATAAAACGTAAACAACTGAATAATAGTTAAATAACAATTATAATACAATAAAAGGTAGTTCAGTTCTACTTCACGGAACCATATCAAAATGTTGTTATTAACGCTCGATAACAGATGAATGAGCAATGTCATGAACATGCCTGCACATCATTATCCCACTTTGTTTTCACGTAAATAAATATCATGATGTCAAAACAAACTGACTTTTTTGTCTGACATATAAAGGTTAAGAAAAGACCCTTTCTTAGTATATATTTTCAGACATTTATTCACAGTAAACAACAAAAATATGTCATTGAAGGTTCGAAGAGAAATCAGTTACACCAGATACAACAGTTGATGATCGACGAATTCAAATGAAAAAATATATGAAGTTTTATGTGTTTATCTAAATTCCTCAGTGGTACAGTAGTCTCCTATCTCGCCTGATATGAAAAATTTTGACGCATATCATTTTTCGTTTTATATATAAATCTCTGCTGCTCATACAAAATAAAATAAAAGAGACAACCGAAGAGCATTTGAAAGTAAAAGTAACAGTTTTGTTAGTTTTTTTTTAATAAGCTAAGAAACTGACACTGTTTGGTGGTAAGCTAAGGGAAACAAACACCACTTTAATTTGTACGACTGTTGAACTTTGTGCATTATTTGATAGATATGCAAATTTGAAGTATTTTTGAAGTTTGCAACTGATAATTTGTCTATTATAAAATAATTTAGAAAAGAAAGGAAAACGCAACTAATGCAACTAATAGAGCTTTACAGCGCTATGATTTTTTATGCTCTTAAAGTAAGGCTAATTCAAGAAGAATGCTTTCAACGTCTACAGTTAACATAAGATGGTTTATAGAATTTTATGGAGGTCTTTCCTGGATGAAGAATATATAGCAGCGATCCGAGAAAGTCCCTTGTCAGCTGTAGTCCGAAAAAATGTATCGGCCATACGAATAATTTAATGAATGATAATCACAGCATCTACCAAATGATATAGAAGGTACCTAACATTGGACGTACAGGTAAACACAAAATTATTAATGAAGAACAGGATATAAAAAATGTTTTTCATTGGGTCTTCAATAATTCAGCAGAGCATCAAAAAGCGGAACGTGTTAAAATCGGAAAAGAAAACCTAATTTCTAGAGAACCAGTAAACCCTAATAATTAAACCTAAAATTACTTAATGGTAGTGGATATGCCATCATTTCTGAAATCATAACTAGTGATGAAACGCTTATACAATTTTCTGACGTTTCAGTAAATCAGTGGATGTTTGAACATGACCACTAGATAATTACCGTAAAAAGACAACGAGCAATAAAAATGTAATTTACGCCACTTTCTTCAAAAGCACAAAATTGGACAAAACTTTAAAATTAGAGGGAAAAAAACATTTGCAGCTAATTGGTACCCAAAATACCTCTTCAAGAAATTCTTCAAGAATTGAATATTAGGGGCTATCATGCTTCGTCATGATAATGCATTTTCTCATTCATCAAGATTGACAGGGAAATTTCTTGAACAAAATTACAACAAAATAACAGAACATCCACTCTACTCTCCTAATCTCGTTATGTTTGACTTTTGGCTATCTTTAAATCAGAAACAAATTTTACGCATCCGTCGTTTTCATTCTGAAGATGAACTTTATGAGGCTATAAAAGCAAATTTTTCATCGAAAAACGAAATGGATGGCTTAAGATATTAAAATTTGTAATAATCGCCTGCAAAAGAGCAGAAGCACTTTGAACACCCCAAATTTCTGGTAAGCTTTTAGCTAAAACCATTTATCTATATTTCAAATATTTCACTGTGATCCTCAGATATACATGAAATTGGATCAAATTATTCGTGTTGCAGTTTGTCACATGAAATGATGAGTTTTGATTTCTAACAACTGTCCCACTTACTTACAAGGTATAATTTATTATGTCAAAACTTTGCGAAAGTTTGCTTACGAACTTAACTTTGAAAAATCTTATGTTAAAACTTTGAAAAACTCACCAGTAGACCTTTAAAAAAATTTTACTTATAAAATGCAAACTTAATTTTAAGCGGAATGCACTGCTAAATTCATGATCCATTGATTACTTAAGATATTTGTAATAAACTACGGGCAGCAAAGATGATTACATCATTTTACGCTTGAACAATTTAAGAGTTCAATTACAAAAATACCTCCTACCTCTGAGAACACTGTTTATCGTTTTCTTTAGAAAGAGCTTCAAAGGGAAATCCTTAACCTTGATCTGCTATTTTCTCAACTTAATTATCAAAAACTATAGTGGAACTTCTTTGCACAACGTACCGAAATTAACGTATGCAATAATTAAAATGTGAACACAGCATGATATTCTGCAATGCCTATCATACTAGTATCCTGAAAAAGATGAGAGTATTTTGAATATACAGTAAAACAAAACTTCCATTAGAGAAACACTTGCTGTTTTTAGGCGGATTTCAATTAAGTGTATTGTTATGCATTCGTAAGTTCCTCTTTGATTTAAATAGCATAAATAGAAAACACATTTTTATGAAGTACATGAATTTAGATGATGTACATTGGCCTTCAGTAAATTTTAATGGAAAAGTGATTGCATCCAATATGCAGATCTGTTGCTTTTCATTTACTTAATAAGTGTTCCTTATCATAAATTTTATTGTTTTACATTTTTACCTCTCAAGAATATTTATCTTAGTTTAATTTAGCTGAAGAGAAATAAGTTAAGCGATTCTTTTTATATGAAAAATAAAAATAATTTTAAAAAATCTTTTCTTAAATTTTTGGGCAATAAAAATAAGATTTTATTTTAGTATCTGTGCAAATAAAAATTAATTTCACTGTTAACTGTTATTTGAAAAAAATATGATCCTCTGTTTAGGAAAATGAAAAATCATTGCATTGTTTAATTTTATGGAGAAAAGAGTGTTTTGATTTTAGTTTAAGAAATTTAAATATTTTATTTTTTTCCACTGCATAATTATTTGTTGAAATGAAAGGCGATACACGAAGAATAAAATTACCCCACTTCCATCACAATAAATACATATTTGGTTTGGTGGAAAGAAAACTTAATTATAGAACTTTTTGAATATTCGGATGATAACTTTTTGAATCAAGACTAACAGAAATTTGACCATCATGACTTTATGAATATTTGGATTCGGTGTCACCCCAAAATAAGTCTGAATATATATAAATACTACTGCATTTTCCAGTATATAAATTTTACAATCAGTCATTTGTATAAGCTATCTACTAATACTGTTAGACGTTTAAATTTGTAATTTTTTGGAAGAGGGCAATGAATTCGTTACTTTCTAATTCTTCCACACCTTCTCGAATTTAAAAAAGAATGAAATGCTTAAGAACCAAACTTCTTTACTATAACTGAGCTAAATTACAAATAAACTGCAAAACGGGAAGACAAACGAATGGTTACTGAGATCCACAGAGGAAGAAAAAACTTTTGTGATCTCATCTGACAAAATAAAATAGATCTAGCAAAAAAGCTTTTAAACAAACAACGCAAATTGGCTGTAAAAGTACTTTCACTGCGAATCCATGTGAAAAGAAGGAAAGCAAACATTTCAACGTTAAAGCATCGAATAACTTGATTATCAAAGAGACTGCACGAGGAAAAAAATTAACGCATCCCGCTGGAAAAATATCTTCCTCCGTATTTTCGTCTGATTTACCAAAATAAACAGACAATGATCTCAGCAGAAGATTTGTATTGAAATGGAAGCATAAAAAGAAAAAAAGAAGGCCATAAATACGAAGATTTCTTTGATCTAGACTAGGAATTCTTAAACTTCTCCTTGCATCGACCCCTTAAAAGAACTTCATCAATAATTTCACATTTCTCTCTCTATAATACACAACGTAATCAATATACAAATAACTGCGCATAAAGATAATAATTAAACTAAGCTCATGTAGAAAGGTTCAGAACAAAACAAAAACAAAAAAAAAAAAAAAAAAAAAAAGAGGTTTATTAGACTTACTATTTTTTATTATTAGTTTTAAGTTTATAAATGTAAACAAGTCAGACGCAAAATCAGAAACGCCGAATCCTAAGTATGGAGAATCATTATCCAGAACCTTTAGTTCGGGCGCCATTGTAGAGACATTAGGTATTTTTGGAAGCAGACAAGATTGAAAATGAGCAACGCCTTAGCCGGGAATCGAACTGCGGACCTCTGGAATACGCGCCCAGCGTGCAGACCACCACACCGCGAAGGCATGCCAAGAAGGCGGGAGAAATATCGTATACACTTTTCATTCGAGTCATTTGGCATTCAGAAAAAGGTAACAGTTATTCTTTCATTTTTAATCTGCGTGTTTTTAATTACCAAACTAAACTATTTAAAAGCAATAAACGAATACCTTAATTTTTCCTGTTTACTTTTTATTCTGATCGATTTAAACAAAAATTTATTTACTTCATAATAATATTTAATTAAAACATTTTCATAGAATTAATTACATACTTTTTTCACTTTTAAAAT